TCTGTTTAAGTTGATGTTGGCTGTGGGCTTGCTGTAAATCACCTTTCTTATGTTGAGAAAGGTTCCTTGTAAGCCTAGTGTCTCCAGCACTTTTATCATGAAGGGGATGTTGGATTTTGTCAAAGACACAAAAGGAGTTTCTTAAGGTACAGGAGCTTGCCTAAAACAGCAGGGTCTGGAGGTCATAGAATCCTTCTCCACTAGGCTCCTCTGCTTCTCCCCCACTGCCCGTTGGAAAGCCGACTCCGGCCTGCTGTTATTGCCGTTGATATTATACAAACTGTCTGCCTTCCCAGAATGCACAGGGTTTGTCAGTATTTACTGTGCATTGCCTCGTCTGCTAAGAAAGGCTTCATCCACACCAGGGGCTGAGGCACCACCCTGGTAGCACTTGAGTTCTTATCTGAGTATTAGGCCCTTTAAAGACTGTGTGTGCCCAGAAAGAACACATAAAAAGTGGAGACCAAATGTTCTTCCTGACCTCATTCACCTGTCGATGACTACTCTTCACTCATTTATTAATTCACTTATTTCTTACATACAGTCGCACATCAGAGTATGTTTGGGACCAGTCCTAGGACCCCTATGGACACTTGAGTCTGAGGAAACACAACTTCCTTATACAAAATGACACAGTAATATCCCCATGGATACTTAAAAAATTGTTTACTTTTTGACTTTTTTTTTTTTTTTTTTTTTTTTTGGTTTTTCGAGACAGGGTTTCTCTGTGTAGCTTTGTGCCTTTCCTGGAACTCACTTGGTAGCCCAGGCTGGCCTCGAACTCACAGAGATCCGCCTGGCTCTGCCTCCTGAGTGCTGGGATTAAAGGCGTGCTCCACCACCGCCCAGCTTACTTTTTGGCTTTTTGAGCAGAGTCTTACAATGTAGCTCAGGCTGGCCTTGAACTCATGATCCCCCAGCTCAGCTTCCTAAGTTCTAGAATTACTGTGTGAACCACTATACCCTGCTTCCCTCCCATGTGCTTTGAATAAGGCCTATATTATTTATCATACCAAATACCATATAAATGGTAGATCAACAATATTGGTATATTGTTTAGGGGCCAATGACAAGAAAAAAGTTTGTACATGTTAAATAAAGATGCAATCAAAAGTAACTTCAATCTGTGCTGATTGAATTCTCATACATGGAACCCAAAGTCACAGTATTTATTGATTGCATTCTGAGGTCACTGGCAATTCAGTCATAAATAAGAAGCATTGGTATTCTGAGCTAAACAGTACAAAATAAGTGTTTTGACTGTCATTCATTAATTTAAAAGCAGCTATCAGGAACTTAGAAAATATTTATCAAAAGGGAGTAATAGAAATTGTTTTCTTTCTGCATGCATGCTTTCTCTCTGGATGGGGTTATAATACAAAAGTCATAAAAAGTGTTTTATGAACAATTTCATTTCCTTTTTGTATGTAACTTTAAAATTATTTGTCGTGTGTGTGTGTGTGTGTGTGTGTGTGTGTGTGTGTGTGTGTGTGTGTTCCATACACATGATTGTGGGCATGTGCCAAGACCTTGGGTGTCTTCTATTGCTTTCAGCCTTATTGCCTTCACTGAGCCAAGCTCACCTTTTCAGCCAGGCTGGCTGGCTAGGGACAGCTTGCTCCCAGGATCTGCCTGTTTCCAGCCCTCATCTGCATTCCTGCCCCCATCTCTGCCCTGATTTCCATTCCTCAAAACTAGGGTTAGAGGCATGGACACCTTGTCCAGCTTTTAAAGTTGATGCTGGGGATCTGAACTCAGGTCTTAAGGCCACTGAGCCATTTCCTGGGCAAGCATTCTATGTGAGTCATATCCAGCCTTTTCATAGAATTACTAAGGAAGAGGGGGGGGAGGAGGAGGAGGAGGAGGAGGAGGAGGAGGACTGCTTATGACTATTAATATTGTGGTGCCTAATTTTCTACTGATTTTATTAGATCTGATAAAAATTATATGTGTATGCAACTGACATCATGTGGGATATATTTTTTCTAGTCTCATTTCTTGTGTTTATCTTGATTATTTTGAGAACCATAAATATTTATGTCTTAAAATGGTTTTTCTTTTTTTATACTTCTTTCCTCCTTTTTTTTGTTAACCAGATATCTTTTAGTACCCCTTTTCTCCTACTTCACAATTTTACACTACTGTATAGATGGTGTGAGCATCTGAACACACTCTCCAAGTGTTTTCCCAGACTGTGTTTACCCATTCATTGTCTAAAGTTTCCCTTCTTTAAATGCTATCTATCTCACAACACATTTATTTTTGCTTAAATGATTGATATTATTATAAAGTATATTATCTAACAGTATTAAAAGGGCTGGGATGCAGTTGAGTTGGCAAAGTGCTGCCTAGAATATAGGAAGCCCCACGTTCAATTCCCAGGACCCCAGAAAACTTGGCATGGAGTTGCAGACCTGTAATCCCTTCACACTGGAGATAGAGGATGGAGGATCAGAGGTTCAAGGTCTTCCTTGGCTACACATGGACTTTAAATCAGCCTGGTCAATGAAACTGTGTCTCAATGGGGAAATAGGAGGAAGAGGAGAAGGAGGAGGAGGAGGAGGAGGAGGAGGAGGAGGAGGAGGAGGAGGAGGAGGAAATTAAGACTTTTTTCTGTTTTACCAAATATTTATCATTTTTGTTTCTCTTCATTACCCTTCTGTAGGTCCAGCATTCTGTCCAATATTTCTTCCTTTTTGTCTTAATAACTCCTTAATTTTTTTGACATCAAAAAATTGGAAAGATGGTTTAGTGGTCAAGAACACTTACTTCTCTTCCATTGCCAGGGTGGACATGGGGGCTCACAATTGTCTGTAATTCTAGGTCCAGGGGATCTTGATGTCTTCTGGTCGGTGGTCACCAGGTGCACACATGGCACACAGATTTCTATTTATATTGATGTTTCACTGTGATTAATCTTTTTTCCATATTTAATTTTTTATATCCTTTACTCTTTCACCACACAATAAACTCGCATCATAGCAAATAAAAGGGAAAAAATTCAAAGTTTATCACAGCATAAAATGAGAACAGAAATTTAAACCTAAGTTCCAAAGAAAACAAGGATGATGATATTTTAATTAAAAGTGTAGTTTTCTCTAACTGCTTAGTATTCATGCTCTGAAGATTTGCTCTTTCATTTTTTGTCCATACGTTGGGCCTCACTGTCACTTTATAAACTTTATCAATCATTTGTTTTCCATTTTTCTTCCTTATTTTCACATCCCTCTCTCTTGGAGTCCAAGTTCATACTCACGACACTACTTTATACTCTACTTCCATATATGTCTTAGTTTTTTTTTTAATTCTTAAGGAGATATTTTCTTGCTTCTTCACATGTATCATAATTTGTTATTGTATACTGGGCTTTCTAAAAATAAAACACCAACGGGGACTGAAATTAGTAACACAATTAGAATGGATTGCCTCTCCTTTCAGGCTGCTGGAGTGTGACATGGTTCAATGTGACCTGCAGCGGGATGTGGCCTTTGGTGCAGTGTTAGATTGGCTCAGTTTATCCTGGCTTCAAATGTTCTATGGTTGAGATCAGAACTTTCCCCCACACTACAGAGCATTGGGTCTGTGCCCTAGTGAGGTTCTTTTTTTTTTTTTGGAAAAGATTTATTTATTTATTTATTTTGCCTGTGTATATGTATGTGTACCATGTATGTGTTTGGTGTTCATGGAGGTAGAAGAGTGTATCCCAGGGGAATGATCTGGTTAGCCAGAGCCAGGGTGCCTCATTGTGGAACAGGGAATGCTGGGTAAATTCTGTTCCTAGAATAGCAAAGCTATGGAAATGCAACATGCTGGCACACAAGAATGAAGCAGGAGGCTGTGCTCTCTAGGTGTCAAGGTTTTAACTGGCCTGTAGGGATTAATACAATATGCTATTGGCACAAGGTAAACCAGTGGGACAGGATGCAGAATCCAGTAACAGGCCACACATAGGTATATCTAAGGAACTACAGAGCGATGGGACGTGACACGATGATTGAATTTAAGCATCAACTTGACTAGGCCAGAAAATTCCCCAATGAAAGAGTCAGCGTTTCTGTGAGGGCATTTTCAGATGAGATTAAGATCTACAAGTAGAGCAGATTGCCATTCTTTTTTTTTTTTTTTTTTTTTTTTTTTGGTTTTTCGAGACAGGGTTTCTCTGTGTAGCTTTGCGCCTTTCCTGGAACTCACTTGGTAGCCCAGGCTGGCCTCGAACTCACAGAGATCTGCCTGGCTCTGCCTCCCGAGTGCTGGGATTAAAGGCGTGCGCCACCACCGCCCGGCCAGATTGCCATTCTTAACGGGATGGGCCTCGGTCAATCAGTTGATGATTGGGTTGGAACCAAAAAGTGACTCCCCTGTCTCTGAGGGGAGTTGGTTGTTCTTGTTTCTCTGGGCTGAATAACTATTCCCTGGGACAACACTATTAATTCTCAGCTTCCCAACTTACTCCAAAACATTGGGGTTCATCAATCTTCATGATTACATGAGACAGCTCCCCAGTTTTATATTAGCATTCTCAGGGTGGCTCCTTGAAAATCCCTGACTAGTACAATAAAAGATACCATCAAATAAAAGATGCTAGGTCCATTGGATACTAATTGGTGGGTTTCCAAAGGCTTTTTCATACATTTTTAGTTGTGGTTAACCCATGCACTGCCTTCTCCCCTCCCCCACCCCCTTGCCTTGTCATCACTTAATCTTTTCAAAGCTATCCCAGCATCCCCCACCCTTCTTTCATTACACACACATTCCACTATCCCTCTAATTAGTTTTTTAGTTGGGTTGTGGATAGTAGGCTTCTGAGTGCGTTTCCATACACTCTCCCTTTATGTCGGTCCTCCTTTCCACCCCGGTTTCCCCCACACTCCCCAACGCCCCCTCACACCTTTCTACCCCCTCCCCTCCTTCATTTTGCCAATAACATTCTCTCTCTTTCTCTCTATCACACACACACACACACACACACACACACACACACACACACACACACACACACACACACACACACACACACGTGTACACCTGTTTTGATAACCTTGAACTCCCTCTTCTCCTGTCTCCACCTTCCAAGTCTCAGAATTACAGGTTCGTGCCACTATGATAAACTCAAGGCCATCATTTTCCCAGTTAAAAATTGACCCAAGCCTCCCCTTGCTTTTCAGACCTAGAGACCAGGACAAATAAGAGTCCTAGGAGGCCAGCCCTGAACAGTTGGACACCTGAAGTGAAGTTCTTTTTTTTTCTTAGATAATTTTGAAGCCACAGGAATATATATGGTTCAAATGTCTGACCAGAGCATGAGAAACAACTTTAAAATGAAGACCAAGCTTAAGGGAGCTTCAAGGACTCCCTGAAACTAAGCCAGTGATTCTTCATCTGCTGGTTGAGACCCCACAGGGGTTGAATATCAGATATTTACATTACAATTCCTAACAGTAGCAAAATTCAAGTTATGAATTCAAGTATCATAACTTGAATTATCAACAAGATAATTTTATGGCTGGGGGTCACCACAGCATGAAGAACTGTGTTAAAGGGTCACAGCATTAGGAAGGTTGGGAACCACTGGACTAAGCTGAGGGCTGCAGTGAGGAGGATGTCAAGAGAAACAGCTGTGGAGACCTATGTGAAGTCCAGCCAGCAGAGGATTGTGGGTAAAACCAAGGTAGGGTGCTCAATGCTGACTGCACCCTCCTGGGGCTCCAGCCATGTACCCTAGTCAACTATGGACTAGGAGGAGTTGAGAGCTAGGAACAACCAGAGGAATTGCTGAGTGCTGCACATTCTAGGGTACGGGGAGGACCATGGGTTCAGGATGTACAAGAATATAGTTCATTTGCTCACTTGTTGAGGCTGACTGTATGGAAATGATGGCCACAGCGAGGGGAGGTGGGATGATGGTGATGGCAGTAGGTTCACAGGAGATCTACAGATTGAATGTTTCCTCCCACAGAACCAAACTCTGACCTGTGCTGGGCAAACACTTCTCTGACCACAGAGGGTGAGGTGCAGTATAAGTAACATTTCCACCACATCCTGGGTGGTGAAGGATTGTGACGTCATGTAGCTTGGATGCTTCTAAGGAAAAAAAAAAGTTAATCAGTAAGGGGTCCAAGCTAAAGACACCAGAATGATGAACTCAGCCTATAGCCCCAGCATTCCAGAGGCACAGGCAGGAGACCCACATGTTTGAGCAAGTTTGAGGCCAGCCTGGGGTACAGCGCAAGACCGTCTCAAAACAAGAAAAAGAGCGATGAGCTCAGCCTTTAAGTAATCGTTTAATTCGTGAAAGCAGTCAGTTGCTTATCATAAGCTGCTGTGGGTTTTTGACTCTGCCTTATACTTATGAATCTGCGTTAGATATGGGACACAAATATTTTTTTTGGGGAAAGATCTCTCTGTATACGTATATACATATACATATACCAGACTGGCCTGGAACTCACTAGGTAGCACAGGCTGGCCATGATCTCATGCGGTCCTCCTGCTTCAGCCTCTCAAGTGCTAGGATTAGAGACACGACACAGCACACCCATTGCCACCCTCAACCTTGCTTCTCCTGCACCTGTGGCTTCCCTAGTTCCGCCATCTCCACACAAGACACGGTCTCAGCTTGAGTCGTGCTTGTCAAGACTCCGTGGCATCAGCCTCTGTGGCACACGGCATGGTTGGGATAACTGGAGAGGTTGCCAGGAGGCTCACCTCTGAGGGAAGAGCTTGCTCTGCAGATCTGCTCTGGCGAGAAGTCGCCAGCTACCCAGCAACACAACATCACACCTCCTCTCACTGTGGAAACCATTTCCCCGGTGAGTAAGCCGATGAACCATTCTTGCGAACTGCCTGAAACTTTGTGGTGACCCAAGGCTCTCCTGGTCCATGCAGTGTAGGTGCCAGTAACATGGTTAAAAGTCCCTCTTGGTCTTCCCAGTGTTTCAGTTTCCAAAGCCCCAGAGTGTTTATCAAGAGAGATGATGTCTTAGATCCAGGAGGCATGTTCTTCACTGGAACCCACTTCTCTTTCATTTGCTCTGCCATCTGTCACCCTATCCTTCATGTCTGTGTCTGGCTGTGCCTGGGACCACAATGCCACAGGATGTGCTTGACACCCTCTAAGTAGGGAACCCCAGGAACTTCTAGATCACTTCCCAGAGGATTCTCCTTTGAGAAAGGTTTTAGCAATTCTCTTCTCTCTGGGAGGCACGGGGAGTGAGAGTCCTCGTTTCTGGATGGGAAAAGGAGGCCTAGCAAATTTGGTAAGAAGTAGAACATTGGGTCCAACTAGCTCCTAGCTTTGTGGCAGATCCTCGACTTTCCTGTGAGCTACAGGTGGCATTTCTCAATGAGAAGCAGAAATAATTTTGATCAAAAAACTAAATTCCCTGTAGAGAGATGTAGAATCTCAAACTAAAAACAAGGAACACCCAAAGAAAGGAAAATACACAAATCTAATCAAAATGTCAGGGGAAAGATGTCAATTTCCTTTGTCCTCACCATGAGCGCTGTCTACACACACTTCTGCCTGTTCCTCAGGGCAAGGGCACAGAGTGGCTAGCTGGCCTTTTCTTCTGCACAGCTCCTTAGGTTTTTCTCTTCTGTCTCTCACAGAGAACATCCCTAACCAACCCGCCTGCTGCTTCTTGATGATCTCATGGAAGATCCCACAGAGATTGTGAATGGCTATCATATGACCAGGAAGCTGGTGGCACTGAGAGGGACTCTCTCCTAGTACTTGGTTCTCTATGACTCATCAGGAAGGCTCCTGGGTGCTCAGACCTGATCTAGGGCCTGCATAGTCCCTGGGCACTGTGAAGACAGGGAGTGCCAGAAGGAAGCTGGATTTCCAAAGACCTTGTAGATACTCAGAGGGAAAGGACCCAGCAGCTGCCATAACAGGCTGTCAGTCTTCTCTCAGAGATCAGGCCTCAATTTCAGTTTCCTGAGAATTGAACAAGCAGTTTCTGGGAGGACCATGAACAAAAGACATAGTCCTTGCAGTAGCTCCCTTTCTGCATGTACTCTGACCGCTCAAGGTTCAGCCAGTTGTTTACTGTCTGGGACCCCTCACCAACTTAGAGCTACATGCATGAGTCAAGGACAGAGCCTAGGCCACTGAGTCAGCCTCCATAGTCAGTACATGCTAGGCCAGCCAACCTCCATGGCAGCTCAAGGAAAAAGCCTGGGACTTGTCCAGGCCTGCCCAAAAGTGGTAACTGTAACCCCCAATTAACCCTAGCTAATTAAAAGTTAATAACATGATTGCCACTCGAATAAACTAATCCTGAGTCTGTTCCTATGTAGTCTGTAGACCCCAAGCACCCTTGCTTTAAAAACCCTGCCCGATTGCTATTTGGAAAGTACCAAGTTAACTCATAATACAGAGTCTTTGCTTTTGCATCGGGTTCGGTCTCTTGGTGGTCTTTGGGGGACTCTGGGTACAACACAGAGTAGATCCATGGGTCCCAAGATTGGGGAAATTTGGGGAACATGAAGTCAGGCCCTGAGATGTATCATAAGAGAGGGATGCAGGGGTCACTAGGCATCCCCTGTGGATGGCCTTAAGGTTCCACCCTTCTCCCTTCTCTGCAGTTCCCAGGTCAAGAGAGGCTGGCAGATCTGTGCTGATCCTAGCCAGTACTGGGCCCAGGAATACATCACTGACCTGGAACTGAACTCTGGAAGGGTCTGGAGGGAGCAAGGAAGTGTAACATCTGTGGGCCGAATGAGGAGGAGATGCTCGATTCTGCAGTTCTGAAGGTCACCTCCTCTGTGGTCCCACCCTACAGCTTACCCACACTCTGGGTCCCTCCTTGACTTTAATCTTGTGTATGTATCTCATTTCACCTTTGCACTGTTTTCATTTTTTAATGGTGTTATACAATGAGTTCTTTGTGGATATCTCATGACTTCATCCTTTTCCGTTCCCTTCAGCTCTTCTCAGATACCCCCTGCGAATCAATGAGTGTGATTGGCCTTCTGAGGGAGATATCGAACCACGCATATCAAGCAACACATGACTATTGAATAGCTTGACTTGGTGCTACGTTTAACACACTGAAGGCGCTTTAATAAAATGTCAGCAAGATTCTTCATTGTGATGATTCTTGATTTTGTTTTCCTCACAAATCAGAATCACAGATTGGCAGGGGTACTGCAAGAGGATGTGGAAATACAAGAAGAGGCAGAAGCCACAGGGATGGGCAGCTCACAACAGTACACCAGATGTTTCCCAGAGGATGCTTTCCTGGGGAATTGAAAAGGACACCAGCATTTTCTAAAGCAGATCATAGTTGATATGGTCTAGGGCAGCAGTTCTCAATCTGTGGGTCGTGACTTCTTTGGTGGGGGTCAAACGACCCTTTCAACAGGGGTCACCTAAGACCACTGGAAAACACAGATATTCACATTACGATTCCTAACAGTAGCAAAATTACAGTTATGAAGCAGCAATGAAATAATTTTATGGTTGGGGGCCACCACAACATGGAGGACTGTATTAAAGGGTCACATCATTAGGAAGGTTGAGAACCACTGGTCTAGGGAATTGCTCCCCTGGAATGAATACCAGAGTAGTGTATTCTGCGTGTGCATGTATGCTCACTTTCACAAATATGTGATAGTTGACATTTGTTGAGAGCTTGTGAGGTGCTGGGTTCTGTGTTCAATGTTTGCTAATATTAGTGCCAGTCTAGCAAGCCTGCCTGCAGAAGCAGGGACTCCCTGCTGGTTGCCCCAGAGGCTTGGATATATCCTCTGCTGTCCACTTCTCTGTTTTCTAGGAGAATGTTTTCCATGGTCATCTCCGTGGTGAGGCTTAGGTGGCAAATGAAAATACAGAATTATATTTATCTTTAAGAATACTTATCTCTAAGGATAAGTATTCCTCATGTATATTTAGAACATACAGAAATTGTTTTTTATTCAGAACTTGAATTTTGCTGGGTCTTTCTGTACTTTACCCGGCTACCCTCTTTGGAGTGAATACCTTTTATTCAAGCATCTATTTCCTGATGGAGATACCTGCTTAAGGGTTGGCTTAACTGCAGAGAGGTAATTCCAGAGTTGAGTTCACATTAGTGTCAGCCAGGACCTTTCCCCAATTCCAATGTTGGCTCTTACTCCCAAAGTTACAAACTTAATTTGTACCTGGATTTAGTAACTTTAAAACTTACCCAGTGATATTAAAGTGAGTTAAGACTGAGAACCACCATCGAGTTAAATATGGGCTGGATTGAGTCAGGGCAGTCTCTTCTGAGTTTTGGTGCCTTCCATCTGTGGGTTTTGTTAACTCTGTTGGATGGCACAGATCTCCATGCACAGTGTATGTCTCCAGCAGGTTTGGAACCTCCCAAGCCCTAGTTACCCTCTAGGGTCTCCTTTGTATTACTTTCTGTCCCCACGTTACCCCCTGCTGGTGGAACAATGTCACAGGCAGGGCGGGCGATGTGGTTACTCACTGACTGTAGTTCCCCAGCTGCACCTTCACAAAGACCACAATTGTTCATTGTGACAGTTAATTCTACGCTGTCAACGTTACAGGGCTAAGTATTACTTAGAGAAAACATTATTTCGGGGTGTGTCTGGGAGGTGTTTCTAAAGGAGATTGGTATCTGAACCAGAGGGCAACCTGAATTCGATCCCCAGAATCCACAGAAAGGTAGAAGAACTAACTCCACAAAGTTGTCCTCTCACCTCCACACATGTACCTTGGCATGTGCATGACCATACATGTGTACCGCACACACACATGATGATGATGATGATGATGATGATGATGATGATAGCAGTAGTGGCAGTAGTGGCAGTCAGTAGTAGTAGTAAAGGTAAATAAGATCGGAATGTTAATTGGAAAGAAATTTTATGACTGGGTGTGGCCAGAAAGTGATGACTATGTTGAAATGTTTAGGAGGAGCCAAAGATTGGAGAAAGTTAAGCACCCCACATTCTACTCTACAAGAGTCAGCAGGATTTTGTTATATGTGCAAGTTTCCTGTTCACATATGAGCTATGTGGGTTAGGTAATTGGTTTCCAAAATTCAGCTGCATCAAAATTCTCTCTGGAGTTTGTTTCCATAGAGTCCCAGAATTCTCCCAGGAGACCCTGAGTCTACAGGATGGGGACATGGCTCAAGCTTCTGCCTTTCTCGTGAGCACTCAGGCGATGCTGCTACAGTGGAACCAAGAACTACACTTTGTGTGATGCCCATCTCATAGCAGCTCTCTTCCAAGTGGTGCCTTGGGCCTTCAGGATGCTCTGTCTTTACCTGTAGACTCTGTGAGGAGAAAGGCTGGAAGGGCACACTGACTTAACTGTGTTGGTCCAGAAGTGACACATTCCACGTAGGCTTCCAGTTCACTGGTTGACCACTGTTAGTCACATGAGCATCCTGGTAGTGAGATGAACGCCCGGATATTAGCCAGAGTAAGCTCCATCTTCAACAAGCGTCCATGCCACTGTCCTACATGCCCGACTGAAGTGAAACAAGCCTCCCACAGCCAGACAGTGTTTGCCAAAACCAGTAAAGTCCCCTGTAAGGGCAAGCACAGAGCACACCGAGACACATGACTGGAGTCTGGCTTTGCCTGGGCCTTGTGCTGTCTAAGGCTGCTGTCACCTCTGCAGCTTTAACACCATCTAAAACCTCTGAACCTCGGTTTGCACCAACCCTGCTGCAAAGTCACAGCATCTGAACTAAGAGCTCGGTAGGTAGGACAGTTGGGGACTTCAGGAAAATACTGCCATTTGGAGTTTTCCACTGCTCTGTAAGGAGCCCCTATTGGTGAAATTATTAAGGCCACTCCATGTAGTTAAAAGATTTATTTAATGGCGTAACTTACAAATGAAGGGATAGGTAGGTCGCAGGGTCTGGGGAAGGTGTATTGCAGTCCAGCGGTGTTCTCTGGAGCTCTGCTTGGTCAACCTCTACCGTCCCAGGGTCCAGGAACAGAGAGAGCTCGCCCCTCCAGATCTCGGGTCTCGGTTCTCCAGCGTCCTCTCTTGGCCCCACCTTGTAGGCGTGACAGTTACCGAAGCCTCAATGGGGGTTGGAACTTCCAGATCAAAGCTGGAATGACTACCCACTACAAGCCCCTAACAAATTCATTTTACCTATCGAGAGGAATTTATACGATGGTTAACACTGATTGCCAGCTTGATAGGATCTAGAATCACTCAAGAGGCAACGCTCTGGGCATTTCTGTGAGGAATTATCTGCATTAGGTTAGCGGAGGCAGAAAGATCCACCCTACATGTGGGTGGCACCATTCCCTGGTTTGGGACCCTGAACAGCACCGAAAGGAGAAGCGTGGCTGAGGCTGGCATCAGTCTCGGCTTCCAGACTGCAGCTGCCACGTGATCACTCACCTCCAGCTCCTGCCACCATGTCTTTCTGCTGTGATGGTCTGGGTCTCCTCAAACCCTCAGCCAAGATACGTCCTTGCTCCCTCTTCTTGCTTCTTATCAGACATTTTGTCCCAACAATGAGAAAAGTCACTAATACAGCATGAGGAGTTGTTCTTGGATCTTTCCATGAGATCCCGTTTTGGAAACAGATGTTCGTTTTCCGTCTCCATGGGAAGTCACTCAACAGTCTTGCACCAGCCTCCTGAGCAACCTCTTCTGTTTACTCATTAAAATATTTTACCAAGCCGGGCGGTGGTGGCGCACGCCTTTAATCCCAGCACTCAGGAGGCAGAGCCAGGCGGATCTCTGTGAGTTCGAGGCCAGCCTGGGCTACCAAGTGAGTTCCAGGAAAGGCACAAAGCTACACAGAGAAACCCTGTCTCGAAAAACCAAAAAAAAAAAAAAAATTTACCAATGTGAACTCCCATGTTAGTAGAATCACTTCCTACTGTTTCTCTTTCCCCCTGTTTATTATAGGATGTCAGTTTAGTATTCTTGTTGCTCATGGGTACTTCGTGAAACATTCTTGACTTGACCCTTTTTGCATTTTACCAGAGGAATCTTGGTTCTGTCTAATTTTCTTGTACTTAAAAATGCAATATAGGCCATGCATCCTTAAACTTTTCCTATAAATATTTTTAGCTTTGCATTCCATGTAGTCTCTGTTGCAGCTATTCATTTCTATCTTGCTAGTGAAGAAGTAAACAACAACAACAAAACACTGAATGAATGGGTATGACCCTGTTTCAATAAAACTTTATATTAAAAAAAAACAGACAATAGGCTGCATTTCTTCTGAGGACCAGCGTTGATGAGCCCTAATCTAGGCGATCCGTTTAATAGAAAAGATGACAGCACCAAAAGCAGTCTTGTTGGGTACCACTATAGGTGGAGTGAGTTTCCCCCAAATGCCCATGTATGAAAGGCTTGGTCACCAGCCTATTATGCTATGGGGAGGTGTGGAACCTTTAGGAAGTGATGCCTAGGAGAAGAAGATAGGTCATTGGAGAAATGCCCTAAGGGATTGCAATGTTATTTTTGCTTCCTGAGGTCAAAAAGTGAGTAGTCAGTAGTTTTTGATATGTGTTCCCGTCATGATGTACCATGCTGCCACAGGTCCAAAGCTGTAGGACTGACAACCATAAACTGAAATCTCTCAGTTAGTCAGAATGAAAACCTCTTCCTTTGACAGTTGATTATGTGGTGTATTTTGTCACAGTAATGGGACACAGACTAACACATATGTTGGCCAATTGCCTTTTCTTTGATGTAAACCACTGATGTTTGTGGAACATGGAGTCTATGAAAATAATACTGTAAAACATGCCCATTTCTATAGGTAACTTGTTTTTAAAAAATAGTTAAGTCCTGAGTGATTAAGACAGTAGTTTTTGGTCTTTGGTCTGCATGTAAATCACTTAGGGAACTTGAAAAAAAAAATCCTAAGTCCAAACTTCAGAAATTCTACAGTTTAAAATGAACATTTCATGTGATCCTGGAAGTCTCAGTCAGGCAACGTAAGCATAACATGTTAGCTATGCTTTCGGTGAGCTAGCTACACAATCGTGGACCAGGGACAAGTTGTTCTGACGTCTTAGACAGCATTTCCCATCCCATCAACTCTGCACTTAGTCCTTCCCAGAACTATTAGAATTTGAAAAAAATGGAACGAAACCTTTTCT